TTTCTTTTGAATTAAAAAGAGGGTTTTTGTCCTTGTTCAATTCACTCTATTTTATAACGGGCAGTAACTTCAATTGCACTTCAAATATACAAGTTATATGACTTGATATTGTGACTTGTTACTCCAAATAAAATTTTGAATTGGATCATGATTTTAAAATATGCATGATAAAGGTCATCTTAAAAACCCTATCCCTCCCCAACTGCTGTGGGTTCAAAGGCATGCCGGGATTTTTGATTCTTTAGGGAAGAAAAGTACCCAGCTAGCCAACAAAATTTTTTGGGGTTCTACTCAGGTGTCGGGTTTTGGGCCCGGGAAAACCCAAAGGGGCCCCTTTGAGGTCTTCCTCCACCAGTAAAGCTAAAAAGTCCCCATAACTGTGTTTGGTTTAAACTTTTTAACCCCAAACCCAAAAAGGGGAAAAAAAAAACCTGTCTTTTTTAAAAAAAAAACTGAGCTCTTAATAAATTCCCGGGCCTTTTTCGAAATTCTTTGGGTTTTTTTAACAAATTTAATGTAGCCCATTTTTTTTTGGAAATAATCACCCACAAAAATAAAAATACTTGCTTTTATGACAAGAGGGCGGGTTGTAAGACAAGGGATATTTTTCCCCTAAAGGGTATATATTGGGAGTTTTTTCCCCTTTCTAAAATATTTTTTTGCTTTTTTAAATTTATGATAACAGAAGGGAAAAAAAAAATATTCATTTATGACATTTATCTCAATGTTTTTTGTAATCGGGGAAAAATTTTCACATTTGTATAAAAACCCCCCACAGTGGCGGGGTTCTTTTTTTTTTTTTTTTTCTGGAAAAAAGTTTTATGATTTATTTTGTTTGAAAATAATTATCCCTTTTGGGGGCTAAAAAAAAAACCAAAAAAACATTTATATATAGGCCCCTTTTAAACGGGAAAAAATTTCTTTTAAATTTTTTCTTTGGGGAACTGATTACTTTCGGGCACACTGTAAAAAGGGTTTTCCCTATATCTGACATGGGAAAATTAGGTTTTTAATAACCATTAGGCTTAAGCTTTCGAATTGCTAGTTTAAATGTTAAAAATCACAAAGGGTTTCCCACCAAAAAAGATTTAAAAAACCAACAAAAAATTTTTAAAAAAATTTTGGGCTTTTCGATTTACTGTATATAAAGTTTTACTTTAAAAAGGCACCCATAAATGTACCGCGTCAGTTTGGGATCCCCCAAACACCGGGTAGACCAACAAATATATTTAAAATATAAACAGGTAAAAATTTTTTTCTCCCGTTTTGGTAAAAGGGGTTTTGGGAAAATTTAAATTTCAAAGCCAAGCATCTGCAAAAAAAATTTTTTGTTTTTTTTGGGTTTAAATATAATAACACCCCCGGGGTTTGGGAAAATTTCAAAAGGGGAAAAGGAGGTAAATTAGTGGTATTCACCAAGGGGTAGTTTTTAAAATTTTCATAAATGTCATGGGGGATTTTAAAAAATCCCTTTATTTCTAAAAAAATTAAAAACCCCAAACTTTTCTTTCAGAGTAAGACAAAAACAAAAACAACAAAAAAACCATTTAAAAAACGAAACATGGGGGGAAACAGAAAGGTTTCTCCCCTTTCTCTTTCCCCGAAAAGTGTATTATTAAAACGTTTTTTTTTTTTAAAATTTTTGTTAGTTTTTTTATAATAAATTTTTTTGTCCAAGGGGTCCCAGTTTTGGGAAAAACATTTTGGCAATTAAAATTTGGGAATTTTCCAATTTTTTAAGAAATTTGTCCCCCTCTCAATTGATATTTTCGGGTTTAAAGTGATTTTTATCATTTTTTTTTTTTGGCCCAAACCTGTAAAGTTTTAATTGTTTAAATTGTAATTTTTTCAAACTTTTAAAAAATGTTATTTTGTTTTGGGTTATAACAAATTATGGGGTTAAAATTTTTTTAAATTTATACAAAAATTTAAAATAAATTGAAAATTATTTTTGATTTCCCTTTTTTTGCTAAAATTTAAAATTTTAAAGGGGTTTGATTTTTAATCTGTTACATAAAATTAATTAAAACCCCGGGTTTTCCCCAAAAACCCGGGCCCCATTTTTGGGGCCCTTTTATTGTTTTTTTCCCCAATTTATGGGCCATTTTAAATTTGTTTCCTTTTTTAAAAATGTACCCCCAAAACTAATTGTACCCTTTGGGGTTGGATTTTACGTTATTTTGGGAACTTTTCACTAATTAGGGGAAGATAGTTTGGGGGGAAGCCAGATACCCTCATTTAAAGTATCATGTTGCCCGGGGTTTTCCAAAAGGGCCCCCGGTTTGGGATTTTGCCTAAATTTAAAGGCCCCTGTACTTTTTTTAACCCGGGTGATATATGGCCCCCAAGGGGGGAAACTGGGGTTGGTTTTAATTTAAAGCTCCCGAGCCCCCAACGTAGAGTAGTCCCCAGTAAAATTTACATTCTCTTTCCCCAATTTTTTAATAATTTTAAAATTTACAAAAAAGTTATTTTCTTAGAAAAACATATTTTAAGTATTTTTTTTGGGAAAAATTTTCAAAATTTTTCCCCAGGGTTTTTTTTTTTAAAAAAAAAAGTTTTAAAACAGGAAAATTCTGTTTTTAAAAGATTATTTAGGGGGAACAAAATTTAAAAACAAATTTTGTGGGAGTACCCTATCCACGGGTTTTCCAACTTTAAATCACCCAAATTTAATTTCAAATGACTTCTGAATTGTTTTTCTTTGGGGACGGGGTTTTTCTCTAAAAAACCGGGGTTTTAAATTCTTTTTCCAAATTTAAGGGTTAAAACATGTGAAACAAAAATAATTTAAAGATTTTTGGATATTTTTAAATTGATAATTCATCAAGTTTTTGGGCCCTGGTTCATTTTTGTAAATTGCCCCAAAAATTTTCTTATGAAACATGTTGGGGTTTTAAAAAAACCTTTTTAAAATGAAACAAGTTTTTTAAAATTCAAAAAATTTTCTTTTTTTTTTTTCCCGGGGCTTCACCATTAAAAGGGACTTTCTAAAAGGGTTTCTATATGTAGGGTGGAAACCCCTTGTTTTTTCAACAAACAATGACGGGTTTGGGGGACAAAGATACTGTAAAGAAGTTGTTTCTTCGAATCGGTTTGAACAAGAAAACAATTAATTAGTTCCCGTTTTTGTAAACCACCTTCTAACCCCATCAGGACCAGGCTTATTCCAAAGATCCATCAGTTTGACAGCTTAATTAGTGAGATTGTTTATGTATTTTGTTTAGTACTTTTAATATAATACATAATTTGTTTAATGGACATTTCAGAGCCTTTATTTCCTTTCATACCAGAGGGATTTAAGGGTGGCCTCCAAAAGAAATTTCTTTATAATATAGTCATACAGTTTGTCTCTTAAATTAAATTTACATCAAATATTCTTTTCCCCATTCCAAAAATATTTTTATATAAACATACCTTGACTTACTTTGACTGATGCAAAAATTCTTTACAGATTGTCAATGAAATACACAATTCTTGTAATTTATTTGTAGGTACTGTTACTGGTGAGAAGGATTTAGCAGAATCCAAATATTTTGAGAATCTTATTACTGAAGGTAAGATTAAATAATTATAGAGTTTGATGAGTAGCTGCAGTAGCATGTTTTAGGGAATGGACTTTTAATTTTTATGCCCAATTTTAGGGATGGGGGATATAGTTGTGTGCTTTTTTTGTACATTACTCTGTAAAGCCATCTATAGACAGAAGAAACAGTAAAATGGGATGGGGCATGTCTGTTTCCTATGGACAGATTTTTTTATCTTTTTTTTTAAGTTCAAAACTTGCTTTGTTTTGTAGTAGAATAAAAAAGAACATTAGTTTAACTGTGTAAGACACTATGGTAGTAGCATACATATGCCATTATTGTACCGGTACCTTTGTTACGCCAGCTATCATGATATTTGTTATTATTTCATCTGTCTTTGCTGGTAGATAAAAGTGTAATATTGTAAACTACAATCACAGATATAATTGTTTATGAATTTTCAGTAAAAATTGATATAATTAAAATTTATTTTTAAACCCGCTTTAGCCAGGGACAAATTAAGGGGGACATAAATTCAATGGGGGTTTTTTACCCCCCAGGGAAAAATCTTACTTTTTAAAAATAAAAGGAAAATTTTATTCAAATTTTCCTTTAATTTTAATTTAAAAAAATTGGGTGTTTAAAAAAAGACGGTATTTTCCCCAAAAACAAGGTGAGTTTTTAAATTATTTTTAAAAAAGCCCTTTCATTTTAAATTAAATTTTATAAACTTCCCCCTTAACCCCGCAGTGTTTATTTTTTACTTTTGGGGGGGGGGCAGCCCAGTTAATAGATCCCATACTTAAAAAAAATGTTTTGGGTTTAATTTGGGAAAAGGGTTCAAGGGCAATTGAGTGGAAGAAGAAAGATTTTTTTTTTTTAATTTTAAACCACTTGGCCCAAAAAGGGGGTTTTGGGGCCATAAAAATTTTTTTCCTTATTTTTTTTTAAGTACCAAACTACAAAAAAATAGGTTTAAAAATTATGGGAAACTTTTTCCCCCTTTTTCTGGGGGAAGGGGGAAAATCTCATTGTTTCCTTTTTGATTTTTTTTAAGCAAAAATGGGGCACCTCTGGGGTAGGGGAAGGGGGGTTTGGGAAATGGGGTAGCCCTCTCACATGAAAAAAAAGGGGCGGGGAAGGGCCCTTTTTTGATTTCAAACCCCAATGTTTAGGGCAAGTGGTTTTAAGGGCAACCCAAACCTTAAACCCCCCTTTGGGCCCGCACACCTCTTTTTCCCTTTTTATAGGGCATGGGAAAAGGCAGCTGGAAAGTTTTATCCAAAAATTATTCCCCGTAGGATAGATAGCTTTTGGTTCGCATTCAAAAAGACAGAGGATGAAAAAAAACTATATACCAATAATTATATTTAGAGTGATAATTCAATTTGTTCTTTTGTCACCATACGTGACCCTTTCTCTCTCTGTTTATTCAGAATGAATCTTAACTTACTCATTGTCATTTTTTATTTACAGAACATTTAAAGAAAGGTCTTTTAGAGCATGAGAATTATTTTCAGGTTAGTTTTTTTATTGCATATTGTAGGATTTTTATCATTTTTTTTCAAATGTGGATAGTGGGCTTATCTAGAAAAAAGGTTGTCTTGTTTTGACATACAACTTTGATTTGATAAAATGGTTAGAAACCAAGTGACATATTGTTCTTTTAAGCATTCCTGATAAATGTACTAAAAATTCTTTTTTTTAAATGTTTTGAAAATGAAATTGAGTGATTTTTTCCAGATCTGCAGGCAATTTCTGTACCACTCCACAATATTGGCATGTAGTTTTAAAGCTGTCTGTCTATCCATGAAATAATGTGCTTGACTATCTGTTTGATAAGTTTATTATGTGAATCAATAATTAATCTACATTGCTTGGAATTTAGAACAATCTGTTTGTAATTCTGTTATATTATATGTTACCAGACATTAAGGAAATCGTTTGAGAATAAAAAGAAGATGTTGGAGACAATGACAGAGAAAGCTGTGATGGAGCTCAGTACCCATGGTCTCTCTGTTCAAGGTAACTAAAATGTGTTTACTTAAAACTCTAATGTATAAGGAATGACTTTGCTCTATTTAGTCTTGTCCCATTCAGATTGTTTTTCGTTTAGTTTTGTTTTTCGTTAAACTAAACAGTGGGGTCATTCAATTTTGTCATATTCAAATTTTGTCCTAAATATTTTCTGTGGTAAATCATTCACACTTGAGGCATAATTGTGGATGCCAAAATCCCTCTTCTGCTTCAAACATCAACACTATCCAAGTACATGTGTACAATTAAGCCTGTAAAATGATATGCTTGTCGGTTTTTTTTAAATATTTTTTTTCTCAAAATTTTTAAACATTTGATGTGTTGAATTTGTCCAATTTAAAAAAAACCTATCTGCTTGCATGTACTACATCTTTTATCCTTCCATCCAGAAATGAGGTCATGAAGAATGCTCTTGAAACAGCATTTAAAGCATCTAGATATTACGCAATAACTGCACAGATGCAGTAAAATACAATAAGACCAATCAGGAAGGACTTAAAATGAGGCACTTCAAAATTATAAAAAAAAAACTACATTTGTATTTTTTTAAGGGGGATGGTCTAATTTTTATACCCTGGGGGAAAACCCTTTTTTTTATCTTTGAATATCAATTTGGGGAAAATTAAAAAAAAACATGAAAGTTTACCCGGGGAAAGGGTTTTTGGGAAATCAAGGTTTTTCCCAACTTTTTTTTTTTTATTTTGGGCAAAGTAATATCTCTTTTTTAAAATTTGAAAAATGTTCCTGATATTTAAAATTTTTCTTTTAAAAAACTCTGCAAATCAGTACAGAAACAGATTAGTCAAATGAAAATTAGATATATTAAAATGGAAAAAAGCGGGGTATTATTTAAAAAAAGGGGGATATAAAGGGGGATTTAAATGGGGGCACCCAAAATCATGGGGTTTATCCCTTTAAAATTTGGTTTATTAACTGCAATATAGATGTCATTTATCATTTTAGAAAATGATTTAATTCATTTAAAATAAAAATTTTTAAAATTTTTTTGGGGGGGGAAGGGAATTTAATTGGGAAGCTTTTATATTTTGCGTAAAAGCAATATTAAAAGTTCTTTTCAGAACAAGGATTAGGGGAAGAGAGGTTAACTCTGAAAGCCTATAGGAAAATCCTTGCAGTATGGTTAAACTCCTCACAGTGATTACCTCCCTTGGCAGAAATTGTACTATAAGGGGAGATCACTTGTGTAGGTTTCAAGGTTTATTTGAATTACGTCGGCCCCATATGGGCATATTGACAACATAAAAACAGTACATAATTACCAAAAATTAATACAATGGTGCAAATACATATGTAAAAAATTACAAGAATTAGCAATAGTTTCTTATTTTAATTGTTAAATGTAAAACTTGAATATTGGAAATTCCAATTTGCAGTATGACTTTGGAGTTCTTTCCCTTTCAACCTATGGTTACTTAACTTTTTATAGAGGTTAGATTATTAATATATGTGTTATATATATAATGTTATAGAGGTGAGTTTACAGACACAGGATTTACAGTTGAGTCTGAATAGACAGAAGGAAGAGTTACAACGAGAATTAGATAGATGTTCTCATATAATAGCAGACACCTATGATAAGTATGAAATATTCATTTATATTTATATCTTTTATATATAGTTAAAAACAAGAGCAAAATTTTAAGTTTTTTTCATTTAAATTTTTCACTGACTTTCTCCATTTGGTACATTTATAGCTATCTGAGCTTTGAAATGTGCTATTTTGTGTAAGGGCAATATCCCCCCTCTCCAAAATATCTGAGAATTTTGCTTTGGCATATCAAAATATTTTGACAATAACAGTTATTAGCCAAATGCTGAATATTTCCACAATGTTTTTTTTTATGATAAATACATTATATGGTGGTATCAGGTTTATATGGGAAGCGGGAATGCAAACATCATCAGTTTACCAGAAGATAACTTTAAAGCGGTTTTGTAAATTTTAACACCTAAGTATTATACTTTGCCAGTTGTATCTTTACACACTTTCAACCATCTACATTGTTATATTTTCAGATATTTATCAAGCCACATTCCAAGTTTAGATGTTTTGCCTGTGAAAGTCAATGTAATAATAGCCAGAAAAAACATACTCATACCTGACTTGGTATTTCAGCCTACAGACAGGTACATTTAAAATAACAAATTTGAAAATAAAAACAAAGAAAAATAACAACAATAACATTAAACTAATTTGATTATGTTTGGTACATACTGCTGCCAATTTATTTTTGTTAAAGATTAAATTTTTGATTCACAGATTGGCTTAACAGTTGTAGCAAAGTAAGATTTTACAAGTTAAATCTTATTAGCTTTTTTGTTATACAAACGGTTTACTCCCTTGTTTTAAAAACTTTTGTTCAATAATTGTACTGATTTATTCACTCAATAATTGTACTGATTTATTCACTCAATAATTGTACTGATTTATTCACTCAATAATTGTACTGATTTATTCACTCAATAATTGTACTGATTTATTTACTCAATAATTGTACTGATTTATTCACCTGCTGGTACCTTTGTGGACAGTGCAGACCAAGATCAGTCTGCACACCAGTGTCATAATTGTGGTATGCAATGTTCACTATTGCCAGTGTGAAAACTCTCCATACAAATGATAAATAACTTGGTCAAGATTGAAAGATGGATATGCTAATACAAGATACATTGGATCTAGCTTAAAGTTAAAGAATGCAGCCTTAAATGGTTGAATATATGCAATCAGTTGATATAAATCAAACTGTGATTTCATAAATACATGTATGTAAATTTCAAACATCATTACATTAATCCAATTATTTTTTATATGTACCTGTATTTACATAGTGTCATATTTTTAAATTAATATGTTTATACTGATATGTTTTTTATTTACTAAAGTTTGAAAGAAATTCGAGACAATGTTGAGTCAGCCATGATAAAGAAGCATAACCCTGTACAGGAATGGCAGAATGATGTTAAAACATTTCTATTTGGGTAACTTACAGTCTATTTTTTAATCTTAGGCGCTGATTGAAAGAATCTGATCTTAAAGGGACTCCACTGAGGTTTTTTGACAAGACTGAACTGTAAATAATTTTTCGAGATATTAGTATTCTATTTAATTACAGGTCTAGACCAATTACATGCATGCAAAATTTCAAATTATTCACTGACTTCGTTTTTCCTAAAAAAGTATTATTCAAATTGTAAAAAATGATCCAAAAATGAAACACTTTTCACTCAAATCGGACTTTGAAAGCACAAAAATATGATTTTCAATTTATTGACGAGTATATTTCTTAATTAGTATATCTTTTTGTTGAAAGTGGCACAGCTGATCTATGTAAGAAGTTCAAATTTTAAGGTTTTAGACTTTTGGACCTCAAGGAGTTACTTTTAAACCAAACAAACAAAAAATACAGTTGTTAGTGTTTTGATAGTCAGTCTTTAATATTATGGTTCCATCAGCAAAGGTACGTATTCTTTTGGAAGATAAGCAATAGAATAAGCATCAAAACAAAAGGTTATCTGATTTTTACAAGGGTGCATAACTTTCAAATAGAAATCAGGGAGCAAATTGTTCTAATATTCTTTCTGTTTTGTTTCATACCTAAAATATCAACTCTTCTGTTGTCATAATATGTAAACCCCATAAAGAGTGCTGTCAATCTGGAGTATATAAACATCCGTACACATCTTTGCTATTATCCTTAACCCCACCGTGTGTATACTTCAGCACCCAACTGTATAATTGCACCTTTTAACCATATAAGTATTTGTTGATTATTATGTTTCAGGCCCTTTGCAAAATGTAGTGAATGTGAAATGGAAAAGATAGTTAATGACTACCTCACTAGTGGTACTCTTATACCAGATGTACAAATAGTCAACGAGGGTTGTATGCTGGGTCTACAATATGCCATGGTATTATTAATAGTGGTTTTTAACCTTGATGTTTTTTCAGTTGTTGGCTCACCTGAGCACTTTGTGTTCAGACGTGAGCTTTTCTGATGGCAGTGTGTCCATCGACCACCGTTCATCGTCTGTCATTGTCCACATTTTCTTTAAACAACATCTTTTCCTAAACCACTTGATGGACTTTGACCAAACTTTACAAGAATAATCCTCTACAAAAGGTATATACCTAAAGATATTACCAGTCTGATGAAGTAGTAAGTCATAGGAGCTTAAAATAGACTTAAGAAAAGAATTACATAAAATTCTTCTTCTCTGAAACTACAATGCCAAGAGCTTAGATATCTTGCCTGTAGCATCATCTTGTGGTTATATAAATCATCTCCTTGGGGTGTAAAATGGACCTGCCCTAGATGTCACTTGATTTACATAGGCTTTGATAGGAAAATACATTTAGGTATTCTCTTATGAAACTACAATGCTGAGAACTTAAATGTTTGGCTATTTGGTTATATAAATCATGCCCTTGTTGTCAAAACTGAGTTTATCAGTTGTGTCCCTGTCAACCCAGGGCTTCAGGGCTACTTGTGTGACGACCATGCTTTCTCATATGAAACAGTTCTAGTTAGTCTGAGGAAGTGGACTTAAAAAATGTTTCAAACAAGCTGCGGGATTCTTTTCTAATCAAGTTTTCATAGATAATGTAAAAAACTCATTTTTAATTGTGTATTTCACATGCATTTTTGTAATGGTGTAATCATGCCATATTTTGAAATTGTATGTACATGTAGTTGTTTTATTTGTGCAGAAACCAGGAAGTGTGATCCTGATATATGGTACAGTAAAATTAGAGAGCGACCTACCAAAGAAATGTTTTGCTGACGTGTATAAGAAGGGTGACACCAGTCAACGTGTAGATTATTTCTCGTGCAATAGTTGCTCATTTAAATGTAAGTTCTTCAATGAATGAAGCTGTGGTTAAGGTGTCTTAAAGCAGCATGCCTCCAGAATCATGCTAATTTTCATGAAAATTTTGAGAAAAAAAAATTTAAGTAAAATATTGTGAAGTGATTAAAGAAAATAATTTTCACATTGCAAACATCACTTACAATCCATGTAAATTACCAATAGAGAGGTCAATGCTAGACATTTCATCATAAAGTGTTACTGGGTATATTTTAACTATAATTTGATATATTCAGGGATATGCAGATCTTGTATGGAAGCTTGTCATACAGGTAGGTCTTAATATATATACATGTATATTTTTTTTAAAATCATTTTAGTGAAAAATATTTGCTATTTTTTCTTTACTATTACTTTACTTTATTATTTTCTATGGATGAGATACACGCATTTGGATTGATGGACAAGATATGTCAATCTGGATCAATTTTCCCCATTTCATATTTTACATGATATATATTTTATATGATAATACTGCTTACATGTAGGTGCCCGGCCGCTCACACCAGAAATAGTACACGATGTCATACCTGAGGTGACCTGAGGTCTGATTTAATGGGAATGTTAGAAAGCCAAATTTTATGACCTTAAAAGCCTAACAACATTGGTGTGATTTAATTTCCCGCCCCTCCCCTCATATAAAAAAAGAAAATAAAGTCTTCATACATTCATATTCATGTTATAACAACATATCAATAACCAGGAAACATTTTTGTCAACATGTTATAGTCTACAACATGTTTTTAGCCTAAGTAAAGGGGAAAAATATGTCTTTTTTTGGTTGTGTTCAGATTGTTATTTTACATTTTACGTGGGACAAAAAATTTGGTCCCAGATTTTACAGAACATATAATTATGAAGAAAAGAAAAGTTACTGTTCTATTTATCATTGTGTTGTATTCTAGCTGGATCAAATCAAGATCTGTCAGTGTCACTTTATCACTTATCATTATTGTCATTATTTTGCCAGTTTTAACACACAGAGGATATTTGTTTGTTTAGAGTGAATATACAAATGCATATTTATCAGGTATCCTATATTGACATATATACCTGTATTTAACATAATGATAAGTGAAAAAGTGCAATATTAAGTGTGAAGTACAAGCGAATATGCACATATTTTCTCATTTCGGTGTGAGATATATAGCATAATCATAAAAAAACAATAATTTTTTAGCTCGACTATTCGCAGAATTATCGAGCTTATGCAGTCACCCATTTGCCGGAGTTGGCGTCCCTGTGGTTAAGTTTTTGCGTGTAAGCTAGTATCTCCATAACTACTGAAGGGAATGGATTTAAACTTCACACACTTTTTCTCTGTGATTATCTAAAATGATCGACACAAGTCCCATAAGTCTGAGTTGCTTTTAAGCACATTATGCCCCTATTTCGACTTAGAAATTCTTGGTTAAGTTTTTGCAAGTAAGCTCCATAACTACTGAAGGGAATAGATTGAAACTTTACACACTTGTTCTCTGTGATAATCTTAGATGATTGGCACAAGTCCCATAACTCTGATTTGCTTTTTACATAATTATGCCCCTTCTCAACTTAGAAATTCTTGGTTAAGTTTTTGCGTGTAAGCTGGTATCTCCATAACTACTGAAAGGAATGGATTGAAACTTCACACTCTTGTTGTCTGTGATTATCTTAGATGATTGGCAAAAGTCCCATAACTCTTATTTGCTTTTTTACATAATTATGCCCCTTTTTCAACTTTGAAATTCTTGGTTAAGTTTTTTCGTGTTTTCTGGTATCTCCATAACTACTGAAGGGAATGGATTGAAACTTCACACACTTGTTTTCTGTGATTATCTAAGATGATTGGCACCAGTCCCATAACTCTGATTTGCTTTTTTGCGTAATTGTGCCCCTTTTTTTACTTAGAAATTCTTGGTTAAGTTTATGCGTGTAAGCTGGTATCTCCATAACTACTGACGGGAATGGATTGAAACTTCACACTCTTGTTGTCTGTGATTATCTAAGATGATTGGCACAAGTTCCATAACTGTGATTTACTTTTTTGCATAATTATGCCCCTTTTTTGACTTAGAAATTCTAGGTAAATGTTTGCTTGTAAGCTGGTATCTCCATAACTACTGAAGGGTTTGTACCTTTTCGTATTCATATAGGTAAGGATTATTATACTCAATGAAACACCCTTGTGACAACTTGTCGAATAGTCAAGCGTTACTATCCTCCGACTGCACAGCAATTTTCAACTGTTTTCATTGAAGTGCAGGAAACAGATGTTCATTAAGGGGATAAACATTGCCAAACAAAAGTCAAACATGACAATGACTATACCTAATAATTTTATTGATCGCTATTATTCACACCACTTTCTGAAGAAAAACAGTTGAGCTATAGTCATGACCCTCTCGTCTCCTTTGACATTGCTTAAACCTTTTCGTTAAGGTCCATTTTTTTTTCAGAAACTATAAAAGCTATTCACTTGAAACGTGGTATACTTTTTTATTGTCATTTCTTGTCGTTTATACTTTATAACCATGTTCCAATTGAATGTTTCAGGACATGATACAGTACCTTATATAATGCATCATCAACCTAACTGGTAAGTTATTGTCTCTCCCTGTGAAATCCTTTGACAAGCTTTGTGGACCATCCGAATGAAGTTAAGGGATTCCAAAAAAAAAATAATGAAATTTGAACTGCCCACAATATAGAGCTTGGTCACATTACATGAGCCAGCAAGCTGGTTGCTATAACTTATTAGTTTGGGTTCCAGCAGTTTAAGAAAAAATTTTTTAACTCAATAAAAAATAAAGTCTTTAATCAGTAAATTTGCCAAAGTTTGTGCAAATAAATCACAATAAGTCTGATAAAGGTTGTTAGAATGAGTTTAATATGTTTAGAACATGGTTTATAAGGAGATATCCTATATTTACTTCAGCTAAAACATATCCTTAATATAAAACCTGATGATACTAAAATAAACTTGATTGCGAAACAAGTTCTTGCAACTTATATTAATCACTTTCAAGTCTGCTTCCTGGAACCAACCAGTACTGGTGTCATATGAAGAAACATGGTCGTGACCTAAGTAGGGCTCGAACCCATGATCTCTCGGTTGAGAGGCAGACACCTTAACAACTTAAGGCCACCGCTCCCCTTAAATGGATACTAAATCAATATAATCTGTTGATGAATGAGGGGTCTGATAATTGTATGTGCTTTTTATTTGCAGGGCATGCTGCTACTGTCCAAAGAAGAAAATGTGTAAAATCCAGACAACAGGATGAAAGTGTTATTGCTGTAAAGGATAATTTAGAACATTACAGAATGTATAATAAATTCCTTTAATAAATTCCTCCTTTACCATTTATATCATTGATCTGACATATAATGGTTATATACAGATTGTTTCCTTATGACCTAACTTGACACAATTCTCATTTAATGCATTTGTTACCAAATAGTAATTATGAAAAAAAAAAAAAAAAAAAAAAAACTTAAGGAAGTGGTATAAAATAAAAATTCAATCTCTCACTGTTTCAGTTTGTGAGACTGTGAACAATTTGCTTCTCTATTGCCACACTAGATATAGAAGTTTTTTTTCACGCAGCTGTCTTAAAAAGTAATTAATTACAAACAAAAATAAGGGCGTGATGTAGAGTAAAAATGCCAGGTTGTGATCAGTGTCATTTTAAAGTCATCATAATCTTCTAGATGAGTAAACACAATTAAATAAGTTTTGTTAATGCTTTATAAAGAATTTGAAGCTGCATACCTCCAAATGAGCAAAAATATTTCAAGAAAATCAAACTTGAGAACAATGTAGGAAGATTTTAAGAAAAGTAAAAAGATTTAAGATTTGAGTAATAATTTATGTGATATGTGTGATTATTTGCAGTATTTATCACATTCTTTCTACTGCGTTACTAACACAGTAAGGGCGATTTTTGCATATTGTGACTTCTTTATAGACAATTTACTTGGATTGCAAGCACCGTTTACATTGTATAAATTACTTTCTTTCTAAACTTCACAATGTTAACTTGTATAAATATCCATAATTCATATAATATTTTTCAAGTTGTATACAAAATATGATAAAATTTACAATTCATATTGAATCTCCATATTCATAAGAGAGCAAAGGTGTTCTTTGTATTTTTGCATAACTTATGTAATTAACATGAATTACGGATACTTTACCATAGCTTAAACTATTTACTCGATTTTTCTCTGATAAAAAGCGAGGCAAATCCATTTCTTTCATTACTAATTGAGGCTAATCATTTTCACTGATATAACTATAGACAAGTGATTTAGGGTTCCCTTGTCTTATGGTTTAGGTCGTTTACTACAAACCACTTGCCCTTCAACGCTGTATATGTAGGTTTGAATTCTGCAAAGGAACTTTGAATTCTCTCATGTGAGGAATGTATCCAGCTATTTCACGTGGCTCTCCTCGGATGTCCGTTCGGGCCTGAAATAATGCACGGAGAGGCAAGTGAGGTCTTCAGTAGTTAAGCTAAAAAGTAGCCGTATGACTACTATGTTGATGCGACGTAGAATATAGTAAAAAACAAGCCATTGTCTCCCAGCTATTATCAAGAAGAGTAACTGATGAACATGTCTTTGCTTCTACCTTCATGTAATGGTCTGTTTTGGGTGTTTAATTATGTCTTTAAATCATGTATGCATTGCTATCTCGGAAGACAGATTAATGTTGATGTGATACAATATATCCACATGTATTTTTACAGGTGTTTGTTTTTGTTACTGAATTATGAACATTATATGTTATCGAATTTTGTTAATATATACCTAAGTGTTTTAATAAAGATTCTTAAACAGATATAAATTGTTGTTGATAAAATGATTTATGATTTTCAAACCACTCGTTTTTCAAAGCGAGCCGTGTCATGATAAAACCAACATAATGGGTTTGCGACCAGCATGGATCCAGACCAGCCTGCGCTTCCGCGCAGTCTGATCAGGATCCATGCTGTTCGCTATCAGTTTCTCTACCTGCTATAGGGTTTGTAAGCGAACAGCATGGATCCTGATCAGACTGCGCGCATGCACAGGCTGGTCTGGATCCATGCTGGTCGCAAACGCATTATGTTGGTTTTGTCATGACGCGGCTCATTTATGATTTTCAAACCTCTCGTTTTTCAAAGCGAATATGTGAAACGAGGCATGAACATTATATTTGAATACAACGGCATTCAGTTACTTCTATAGTTACGAATTTTCTCATAACTTACTTACTGCTGTTACATATTTGTTGTAGTAGCATTTTAATGCCGTTTATATCACGTTTTATAATACTGCACGTTTGTAACGTCGCTTTTCATTGGATAATCGTGACGTTTATATAGTTTTATATACACGGCTACTGTCGATTTATTTAGAAATCTTACTTTTTTTCTCTAAAAAATGATGCGTGCTGTATTATAAATTCGTTAAAAAGATTGTTGACAGGATATATGGCCGTATATAAACGGCTGTTTGCAATATAACCAGCCGTTTATATAGGGCCATATAACCTGTCAACAATCTTTATAACTAATAATGTTAGAGAACTTGTCAACGTCACGATTTTGCGACGTTTTATTTATCTTATTATTAAGAATGATGAGGTTTCATATTGACTTTTTAACAACTTACTGTAAAACATACGAGGTGGGTCAATATGTAATGTAATTTCGTGAATACATTTATCAAAATAATAAATATTAACAATTTTCTATTTCAACCTTTCGAAATAATCTACAGTAATACTAAATTTCAGACATTTAATCCAATTTTTAAATGCTTCAACAAAGTCCTCCTTAGATATACTTGTACCTTTAAATAAGTTACTGAAAAATGGCCGACCCTAGTCCATTTCTATTGGTGCATCGATGTTTTTTTTAAGTCTAGGAGAGATGAAAAAGTTACACGATGGCAAGTCTAGAGAATACGCTCGGTGTTTTTAAGTGTTAAACATTTTTTCTTAACCATTCTATACACATATACATGCCGAATGCTTGGATGTGACAGAACGGCCAAAATAACGTACAACTGTCACTTTTCAAAAGCTTGGCAATGCATTGTCTGCGAACATTTTTGGTGGCCCAAATCTTATTATTACACTGGCGAGTTTGCGTAAAGCAGTAAAATCCAGTTGTGAAATTATCAGTAAAAGGTAATGTCTATTAAACACCGTAGATACTGACTGGTATGATTTGGTTATTACATATTTTGCACAGAAATCAGTTAATAAAAATGGGAATTAAAGCCCGCCTCTGTATTTTGCAGGATCATTTTACTTATTTAATACATATAGATACCTGTTATCCATGTTCAAAGACACTGAGATATTAACTATTATTTATTGATAATAACCTTCTTTCAATAAATGATGGTTAATCAATGGTTAGTTGTAAATATCAAATAAGTTGCCAATTTATTATTTACAACACAATTCGCCATCATCCACGTCCGGTGACAACACAAATAAACGCTAATGAAAATGCTGATGATCATTTACTTTTTTATTCCAAGAAGAATGACGTCTGTAAATCATGTATTGTCATTGGTAATCTTGATGTGTAAATGTATTTTTTTGGGTACATTATTATTTGTTGTATAACGGAATTTTCTGAGAAAAACAAAACAAAATGAATTAAAGGGGGTTAATACACGGCTCGTGTGTGGGAACACGTATGTAGATATATAAAGCTTGGCGTCGGATGATACATTTCAGCAAACAAGGATCCGTCTTGAAAACGGTAAGTTTTTACGAATTCAAAATAAAATCCGTGAATAATAATAAAAATGATTTATTATTTATTTATGATCTACTGATCTTTTTTTTATTTTAAAGATTTATGTGATTTAATATTAATGTTCATAGAAACATGTTATTTTTTTATTTTATTTTTTACTTTTCGTATCTGTTTTGGAGTAACTACATTGTAATGTGTTCTTTTTTAATCTGTATATTTTAGATAATTTGTATTAAAATTTTTGTTATACCAAAAAAAAAAAACAAATATATAGAGGATATTCAAGGTTTTTCTTTTTTAAAATAAATAATCGACTGGTATGAAACTAAATATTTCATGAGTGGCGGTAGCCACGAGTGAAATATGATGATTTTCACCACAAGATGAAAATAAATCGTGTTTTTATACAAAAACTTGAATTTTCTGTTTATTACATTTTTTCCTTTTTAATGAATTACAATTTGATAGACTTCCCAAAAAATGTGTTTTGGCTGAATTTAGAAGAAAGTAGTTCGGCAAGACTGCAGTGAAAATACGGAAAATATGTTTCACTGCAGTGAAAAATAAATTTCTACAGTGAAAATACGGAAAATGAAAATACGCATTTTATTTCATCAATATTTCTCAATATTTCATTTATAAGTATATCATAAATAGTTTTATTATTATAATTTTATTTAAATGTTAAAAGTTAAAGATAAAAATATTCATAAAGTTAACACTTTTTTGATGTAATTTATTTGTGATAAACAGGTCTATTAGCTTTATTTTTTTTTTAAATTTATCGAAAAAAAGGAGGTCATTTCATTAAACCATATTTTCTTTAGATAAGACGTAGTTTTGTTATCTGTAATTATATCTTGATATGTTACAGAACGGGTTATACCCGCTAATATTGCCAACCCTTTAGCATGTGCATGTTTAGAGATATATGTGTGGTTCATATAAGAACATGCTAATTTAGAAAGGGTCCTTTTTAACTAAATGTGTGACTAAATCAATAATGCAAATTTAATTATTTTATTAAATGAAAAAATAAAAGAATTTTAATGATTTATTGATGCCTAATTTTTAGAAAAAGTATCCGCTGATATAAAAAAAAATATATCAGCATTATATCAATAAATCCGTATTATTTATCTAATTGCGATTAAAAAAAAAAAACAATATAAGTTAGATGATGTTCTTATTTTACATTTTTTTCTTTTCTTTTTTTTTACAGCCAGATTTACACAATAACTCAGATTACTTAATCAGATCTAAAAGATGGAGGACGACATTTCCGTGTTCTTCAGCAACGCCACGTCGTTTTTGAACGACACCAGCAATAATACTTCTCCGACGGAGGCTCCTTTTGTTGATGAAAGACTTCAGACGGCGAAGGACGTTATGTTCACTATTCAGTACGCCCTTCTACCGCTGTTCCTCGTTACAGGGTTGTTCGGAAATTTGTTCACCATTGTAACAATGGCGTCATCCCGATTTCAGCATCTCACTTCTAGATACATCCTGATATTTCTCGCCATATCAGATACTGTTCTACTTCTGACACAGCCCTTCAATAAACTATGGGTCATCAAGATGCTAGGACAAGATGTGCGAGCACTGTCTATTGCTTCATGCAAAGCCTTCTTCGTCATTTTCCGGTCTGCTAAAATGACGTCATCATGGCTTGTTGTCTTTCTATGCTTTGAGCGCTTTGTTGCTGTTGTCTTTCCGCTTAAAGCGAAAACAATCATCAGAAAACGATTGATCCTGCCTGCCATTGCAGTCAACTACTTTGCTAATTTTGTTTACAACTCTGTATGGTCATTCTCTTCGGGTGTGGTCAACGGGATCTGTAAGCCCGACTTGCCGAGTCTGAAACACTACTATTTCGTCATCATCGGCTGCTCCTTCTACTCGTTTATCCCGACAGCACTCCTGATAGTGTTCACACCGCAAATCATTGTCAGATTAATCCGCCAGACCAAAGTGCGACGTCAGCTGTCTACTAGATCATTAACTACTAGTAAATCAAACGCCGTCAAGACGTCAAGCAATCCCGTGATGTCTCGTTCGAAACGTGATGAAGAGATGATGCGAGCAAGCATAATGGTCCTAGGAGTCATGATCGCTTACATTGTGCTGATCATCCCTATTACGACGGTACATATTTACTCCTTTACCGCAGGAGTGAGCGCTTTCGACGTCAACAGCTACGGCTTCTTCATCTATCGTGAACTTGCCCAGATGCTTGAACAGATCAACTATGCCGTAAACTTTTTCTTCTATGTCCTCTGTTCGAGTGCATTCCGTGGTAGGGTGAAGGAAATTCTGTGTTTCACAGATTGCCGCGTCTACAAACACAACCCTGACGAGCGTTCTACATCTTCTATAAAACAATCAACGGAATGTCAATAATAAACATACATACAATTTGTGTTGTGCGGTTTGCAAGAATGAAGAAATGTTGTATGACCTAAGTTTTTTAGTATTAATTCAGTATTAAGATCATGTGGGTGACAATCCCCAACAATACCTTTTGACGAACGCAGGTGCTTTGGCATAAAAGGCAACCTATATTAAACCTTCATTCGTGAAATAATCGCCAGAACCAACTTTGCATTTGAATACATGGACTCATGAATAGAACATCATATTCACAGATTTCACAAGACGTTTCGTCAGGTCCATACAGTCAAGGTCACTTTCGTTCATTTTTAGACGGCGCGGAATCAAATTTCACGTATCTAAAAAGTACCAAAAGGTAAACAAAGCCAGCCAACTTTTACTTTTCAACTTTTTACTATTCCCATCACTTAGAATAAAAATCAACAGCCTCATCATTTTACTTCTAGATAAATTAATTTGATATTTCCCGTCATCTCAGATACTGTAACCCTTCAAACATTTATTTTTTCGTCAGAGGGGTGAGCGCTTAAGACGTAAACAACTACGGTTTCCGTGGCAGGGTGAAGAAAATTTTGCGTTTCACAGATTGCCGCGTCTAAGAGCATAACCAGTACGACCGTGCATCTACAATGACGGACTGTCAATTATATATTTATGTATATTGTTATAACAAAATGTAGATAATTTGTGTTGTGTGGTAGTATTGTTTAAGTTTGCAAGAATGAAAAGATATTACTTAGTATATGACCAACACCGTTTAACCAGAATCAACTGAACCAGAACTAATCGCGCTGATGAACCAGAACTAATCGCGCTGATGAACCAGAACTAATCGCGCTTATGAACCAGAACTGACTGCGCTGATGAACCAGAACTGACTGCGCTGATGAACCAGAACTGACTGCGCTGATGAACCAGAACTAATCGCGCTGATGAACCAGAACTAATCGCGCTGATGAACCAGAACTAATCGCGCTGATGAACCAGAACAAACTGCGCTGATGAATCAGAACTAATCGCTCAGATGAACCAGAACTAATCGCGCTGATGAACCAGAACTGACTGCGGCGATGAACCAGAATGAACTGCGCCGATGAACCAGAACTAATCGCGCTGATGAAACCAGAACTGACTGCGCCGATGAACCAGAATGAACTGCGCCGATGAACCAGAACAAACTGCGCCGATGAACCAGATTTGACTGCGCCGATGAACCAGAATGAACTGCGCCGATGAACCAGAACAAACTGCGCCGATGAACCAGAATGAACTGCGCTGATGAACCAGAACAAACTGCGCCTATGAACCAGAACTGACTGCGCCGATGAACCAGAATGAACTGCGCCGATGAACCAGAACTGACTGCGTCGATGAACCAGAACTGACTGCGCCGATGAACCAGAACTGACTGCGCGATGAAACAGAATGAACTGCGCTGATGAACCAGAACAAACTGCGCCGATGAACCAGAACTGACTGCGCCGATGAACCAGAATGAACCAGAACTTTCTGCGCTGAATAACCAGAAAATGAAAAATCAAAGACACGTATCGATTGACCTTTAGTGACTGAGTATTTTACGTTGTATTGTCCAAATGCGCAAAATGTTTTAAGCAAGTTTTGACTTTTGGTATTTCTCATGCAATTTGTCGCCATGGTGACACATGTTTCTTGTAAATTATCTTATTTAGATTCTAGCATTTTCACTCAATTATTTCTTTTTTATGATCACAGTTTCTCAATGTTTAATTATTTTTAATTAACATTTCAAGTGAATTGTTGCCGGTTTAATGTTGTGTTTTGTTTAAGACAATAAAAATCGTTCAGTAATTGTTGTGTTCTATTTGACCAAGGTGAATTTGTCAATGATGATCAAATTGAGCGTGAAAAGATAACATTGAAAAATAAAAAAGTGAAAAAGAAAGAAATTTAAAAGGTAAACTATGTATTCTAATATCATCTTATACTTATATCTTACATTTCAAGTGACAAGCCAATTATACTCTCCTTAATCCCAGTAATTTAGCAAGGGTACTGGTTTAAAGACGGAAACAAGATTTCAAGATTTAAGTATGTGCTAACCAAGGAAGAAGGGCTTATCAAGGGAGTCATACAGTTTCATTTTGCGCAAATGATGCTGCCGTCACAAACGTTTGAATAAAACCGGAAAGACTGCCGCTGAGCTTGTTTATATTTGGTTTCATTATATAAACACCACCAATCTTTTATTTTAATATGTTTGAAAAAAAAAATTAAAAAAAATAAGAAAGAAAAAAGCCAACCTATAAGCCATAATATCTTTGTTTAATGATTTATAAGTTTAAAGTACATTACAATCATTCAGTAATGAACAGGATTAATATGATGATTTGTCGTGATTAAACCTCTATGTACTCTTATATACCCTTTAATCATATACTTATCTTATACTAGATTGCTTATCTTTTGAACAAATGACTACATTGGTAATGAACCTAACATGTATAAACATAGTTATCCGTCATTGGATCTTAAGACATCGGTCTGGGAAACTAATTGTTTACTTTGCAAAACAAAACTATGATATATAGAAGATAATGTAATACTAATTATCATTTTCTTCCAGTATTAGCTTACTTAGAAGCTTAATTAGAAAAAAAATCTATGAATATTATCTTTTAAGCATGTATAAGCCATTTAGATACTGCACTGAGAATTTGAGTTTTCTTTTGACATGACAGAATTGGTTTTTTTCCGAGATTTTTATACCATTTGACGGGAGGACTTTGTCAATAGCTGGAGTGCAAAACATTCAGATAATTCGTACACTTTCAAATTACATTTTTCGGGTTTTCAGTATTTTCGTTTTAAATAATATATGTATGATTATCTAAATTCATGCTTTTAGCCTTAACGTAAAGAAAGGATAATAAAAAGTATGTAAATTATATATTGAACTGAGAAAATAAAACACTAACGAAACCGAGATCTTTTACCTATATAAAACATTTTTTTTTCTATTCAAATTGTTGATTTTTCTACTAGATTGATTTTCATTTGATACTCGACTGACTTCGGCCCTTTACGACAAACTTCGGATAAGGACCTCGACCATAATAGTAAGAATACACAGATCGGATACGGTATTTTCGTTTTTACTTAAATCAAGTGGTGTTGGTAGTTTTTACTCCGGATCACGGCAGTAAGCAACATTGAATTTACCAGAGCACAGTTCAGCCATCGCATCGTTCCTGAGCAGGCTGTCAAGCAGTTCACCAGTACTAGTTGTCTCCACTTTCGCAAGGAACTGAAACTTCTGTACATACCAGAGCAGAAGTACAGTGCGAATGAACGTAGGAAATATTTCATAATCAATCACAACGAAAGTGACATGCACCGTCCGGGAATCGAACTCGGGCCGCCGTATTCAACGCCCAACGCTCTACCTATTGAGCTAACCGGACGGCCTCTTACGCTAGTCATGTAGACAAATAGTTATTTAATGCTTGGAGTTGCTCCAATACTAAAAATCCACCTTAACAAAGTACATGTAAATCTACAGTGCATTACTTATATACTTATGGTTGCAGAAACCAAAAGTACACAATATCGATTCGTTGACAGTTCTGGAATTCAATGCCGATCCGTTGACAGTTTCGGAATTCAATGTCGATCCGTTGACAGTTTCGGAATTCAATGTCGATCCGTTGACAGTTTCGGAATTGGTTATAAGTGTACATCAGTGGGCATTTTTAAATTGATAATGATTGTCAGATAATTTTACCAAAATAGACTTTATTTTCCTTTGGATATCAAATACAACAAATCTATATACATTCGTTATACATTATCAAAGATTACACCCTCTGTTTATGTTTTTAAACATCGAAAACCACGTGGTAAAACTACTTAGTCCGAGGTTATTATGAATAATAGTCGAGAAGTTCCGATTGGTTTTTGTTCAAATGTCGTCAGAAAGTTTAAATTCTATCATATGAGGAAAATAACCAGATATCTTACGGATTATCGGAGTTTTTTTTTTCTAGACTGAGATCATGAACCAGACAATAACCTTATTACATTTAGCAGCATTAGCATTAGCCATATTGCGATTAAATACCCAAACAAAAACTACGTGAGCATTATATATCCGAAGTTTATGCTGAGGTAATATACCGGGTATACAAAGTTAAACTGTGAAAAAATAAAAGAACAAGATACTGGTTTGACAAAAAATTTACACAAGTGCCACTGTGACCTTAAATTCGATAGGAGTCACAAACTTTCCACTGACATTGTCCCTCATAAGTTTCATAAAAAAAAATGTAGGCTTATTATTTCTCAATTTATTGATCTGGCAAGGACCTTGAAACGTCAATGTGACCTTGAATTTAGACCTTGTGACCTCAAAATTGATAGTGGTCGTCTAGTGGTCACGGACAATGTCTTAACGTTTGCCAATAATTGCTACCGTGACCTTAGACCTAATGCGATCAAAATCATTAAAGGTCATTAATTAACTGGTCATAACTCCTAAGTAAATATGAAGACAGTACATAAAATAGTTATCAGGTTATTTTATATAAAGGAAAATGGACAAGCGCCATTCAACAGTACGAAAGAAGATTCCTTATCATAACAGGCAAAAAAATAGTTGGGAGTTGTAATTAAATTTGTAGATTTTAAGACTATCATGATATGATACTACCCAGTCTCTTTACAGAGGTCAATAGTTGTGCTGAAGTGCACGTTCATACTTAAATAGTTACGTTTGTTCGTTTGCTTTATTAGGTTTTAAGTCAAATCGACGCTGCAAATGTCATACAGCGACTTTCCAGCTTTGCCGGTGGAGGAAGACAACAGGTGCCCCTTCGTACAATATTTTAGACAATAGCTTGCATCTGAGAAAACCAAACCCACCCTTTCCCTTTTAAAAAAAAAAAGGGTTAAACTTCCCCACGTGAAAGTCCTAAGGCCCTGAGGGATTTGAACCCAAAGAAGTTTATTTAAAATGCATAAAAAATTAACCAAAAAAGCCACCCGGTGTCCCTATGACCACTTTCTTTTTTTTATTTCCCGGGACATTTGCCCTAAAATTTTCCCGTTTTTAAGAGACTGTAAACTCTTAAATTTAAAGCATCTTTTTTCGGGAACCAAAAAAATCGATACAGATTTGATTTTCAAAAATTTTATTACATTTTTCAATTTTACCCGGTTTTTAACCCTATGGGGAGTATTGGGATGAAACAAAAAATGAAAACCATTGCTTATGTAAAAATGTTTTTCAATTCCATTTTACCTTCAAAAATTGCATATTTTTTTCATGAATGGAAAGGGGGGATATATTAGTTTGAATAAAAGTCATGTTAGTACTGTCTCTTCACTTCAGTTTATGATGTTCGTCCTCGTGCTTCACAATCAACACTGGCACGTGCGAATGGTGCACGATATAATCTCCCGTACTTCCCATAATAGTGCGTCTTATAGTTCCATGACCTCTACTTCCGGCGATGATCAACGTCACATCCTGTTGTTCTGCAGCCTTGATCAGAGACTCACCTGGTGGCCCGTTCAAACGCTCTAGAGTATGTTTTATCTGCAAATTATAAAAATTAAAATGACAATTAAATGTTATATAGCCGATCGAGGTATGTTCAAGACAAACTCGAAACTATAGCCATTCTCAATTCTTCACTGTAACAAAACCTTGTTCACTGTCATCCAACACTTGAACGTTGCGTTTCTAACTTGCGTTCAGTTTCAAATCACGTTCGGGCACATAGTCAACTTTCGATGTATCAAAACATTTATGTTATGCCTTGTTCCAACTTTTCTCATGGATGTAAGAAAGCGTGTTTTCTGTCATGATTTTATGTAATCCGTTAAGAATTGGCGGCCATCTTGGATTTATCGGCCGACCCAACTTCAGTAAAATCATATTTGCATAAATCTAAATTTTATAAATGAGGAAATTTGATATTATACTTCTGTGACCACTCTTCCTTAGAAATCAGCTTCCTACGACCATTACTAAATGAAACACACCAACTTTCGTTATTTTTCACGCTACTAATAATTATAAAATGCAAGTTTGCCAATTTTGGCAATTGTATGGAACACTTTCATTTACGTTGCAGTTGATTGTTACTTACGTTATGTTTATTTGCCAACTCGTCGATTGTACGGAACACTTTCATCACTTCCTCCTCGTGTTCTTTCATCATAGCTTGTATAACTGTTGGATTTCCCGCCATTAATGCGGTTGCTGTTGTAATATAAATATACAATATGATATATATATTTATGAGATGTTCTTTACAGTTAGTCATATTGTTTAATGAGTCTGTTTGACAGACAATCTATTTTCTAAAGTTTCTTTAAAGTCATGATTATGTAATTCTATGTGCGAATATCTTTACAACTGCTGAGTTTATGAATTGAACTTTCCTGATTCTTTAAATTTCGAACTGTCCTTTACTGTATAAAGGAATTTCATTGTCCGAAATATCTAATATGATATTTTGCCCTGAACCGCATGTGGGTATGTTTCTAAGGCAGCCTTGCAAGACGTGGATAAGTAGTCAAGTTGTGACCCACTGGAGTATTTACATAGGGGTTGGGTCGAAGGTTTGATCCCACATTCCCCAACAACAATACTGATGTGAAGCACCCCTGTTTTGGTGCCCTATAACCAACATGTAAAAATATCAGGGTCGCCTTAGGAACGAAACAACTTCTGTATTCATGCACTGCCCAGAAAATAAAAACTAACTAAATCTTCAGAGGCATCCGAAACGGACAGTAAATAAACCGAAAGAAAAAATATTGCTAAAAGGAGATATGGTTGAATTAGTCATAGAGATCGACATAATTACATTAACATACAATAATAACACACAATAAAATTATGTATAATTAAAATTAAATGCATGTGAAATTTTACTGGTTTAATTAGGTGAATTTTAAATAACATAAAATTGTGAGTCAGAACTAATATTCAAACGCAATTTATTCTGTTTTTCTCTATTTTATCAAGTGCAGATATGTAATCACACATGTGACACATTCCATAGTTATGTAACATAGTTTACAGACATTTGAAATATCATATGTAAATATGATTCATTGTAATTGTATTGAAATTTCCATGTCCTGAATTAAACACACAGGTTAATTACGTATAAATAACGTGCAAATTACTTTCGCACTTTTTGTGATTTTTTTCAAGAGACAGTGTGTAATATAGTGCTTGTGACAACGACCGCAAAACAAATAGGCTAGCGTTAAAAAAAACTTACGAGGTAAATTGACTCCATGTTCGGCACAATGAGCCATGATCACATTGTCCGTAGGCTGGTACACATTTTCGGCATACCCTGAAAAATATTTTCTACTTATAAATGATGTCATATGACTCACATAATAATCAAATTTGTATACATGTTGTATTTGTATACTTATTGGGTTTTGTATGACAACGTTATATCTGGATTTGTCTTTTGTGTAATCTGTAGACTTTTTCTTTTTATTATATATATAATTGTTCATATTTTGTCTACTGTAGGCCCTATGTATTACATCACATGCACAAATACAACCCGACAGAAAGAAAGACAGTATTTGTATACAAGTGATTTACGGTATGACGTTGCTGACGTCATGCCGTTAAGTTATGGTTGCTAATGAATTATAGTTTAGTGAAAATTTCGAGTTTATAATAACCGTACGTATCGGCAAGAATTTATAACACTAAGCATTGTCATTGTCAATGCTGTCTGAATCCTGTTGATAAACCAAATCCACACGTGAGACAATATTTTCTTACAACTTGTGTTATGCATATATTTACAGTGTCACCAGTGCATATTCCTATTGTCGTAAAACAAAAAGTAAAGGTAATTTCAATTGGGCTTTTGGGGATCGAACTAACGATAGGATAGCTTTAAAGATTTGTAACAGTCAGTCGGTATTACCATCGAACCACTGCACAGTGCCACACGCTCTAAAACAACTACACAAGTGTGACACTCGTAATTTTGATCTTATAACATGAACATTATTTTAGACATACAACGATATAGGGGCGATATCCGCGTGTATTTATATCTACACGAAGTCGGAATATAGGGTTAACGCACGTTTTTCCGTGTTATAACGTCTGCAGAGTCCCGAGGAACGGTTGGTGCCCGAGCCCGGTAGGGCGAGGGCTCCAACAGTTCCGAGGGACTCTGCAGACTTTATAACACGAAATAAACGTGCGTTGACGCTATTATAGCATAAAATTTTCAAACAGAGTCGTGATGTATAGTTTATACAAAACACAATTACATTAAATTCTTGTGCTTGGACGGTATTTATCCAATTCTATGTTTTACGTATGCGTTTCATTTTTCCGGGGCCAACAATTTGGAAAATTCTCGGAACCGAACGAAATTTTGAATTTTAATTGATTTAACAAAGTTTGGCCTTTGGAGATTTATTATCTCAAGAAAAAAAAACATTACATTACTCTACCCTCTACCCAAGACAAAATATGACCCTCAGAAATTCTTAGAATGATTTCAGATTGACGGTAGAAAAAGATCAGTGACATCAGAATCGGTTTTTCTTTTCAAGCAAACAAGTTTACAAAAAAATCAGGCACTAAGCATTATTCTCTCAAAGAAATATAAAGAGCATTTATCAGTATTAACATAAATAAAAAACATTTCTCATATTAATTTTGTGTTATCTAGTTTTGTAAGTTAATCGGAGTGTTAAACTGAATGACAGGTAGATTCTACTGCATTTGTTTACATTGACAACTGTCCGTTTCTTAGAAAGGGCGACAACCAAGATTAGCACCGATGTCTATACGCCGTTTTCCGGCATAGTTACTTGAATATGCGATTGAGGCCCTCGAATATAACAAGAGCGCGTGCCTCTTTGACAAACAGGCCAAATCGTCATTTTTTGTTTGTTTGTTTGTTTGTTTAGCCCTGTATGTATTGCGCATAGGTGAAACCGGGCTATAACAAGAGCGCGTGACTATGTTAACACATGGTTTTGGTCCCGTTATAACATGGGCAAAAGAGGGGAAAATAGCCGATTTTATGCTATAATAAGTATTATAGCATAAAATCGGCTATTATTCCCTCTTTTGCCCATGTTATAACGGGACCAAAACCATGTGTTAACATAGTCACGCGCTCTTGTTATAGCCCGGTTTCACCTATGCGCAATACATACAGGGCCCAGTAAACAAACAAACAAAAAATGACGATTTGGCCTGTTTGCCGAAGAGTCATGCGCTCTTGTTATATTGAAATTTATTGATTCGAGGGCCTCAGTCGCATATTCAAGTAACTATGCCGGAAAAACGGCGTATAGACATCGGTGCTAATTAATCTTGGTTGTCGCCCTTTCTAAGAAACGGACAGTTGTCAATGTAAACAAATACAGTAAAATCTACCTGTCATTCAGTTTAACACTCCGATTAACTTACAAAACTAGATAACACAAAATTAATATGAGAAAATGTTTTTTATTTATGTTAATGTTGATAAATGCTCTTTATATTTCTTTGAGAGAATAATGCTTAGTGCCTGATTTTTTTAATAAACTTGTTTGCTTGAAAAAAAACCCGATTCTGATGTCACTGATCTTTTTTCTACCGTCAATCTGAAATCATTCTAAGAATTTCTGAGGTCATGTTTTGTCTTCGGTAGAGGGTAGAGTAATGTAACGTGTAATGAACGTTTTTTTTCTTGAGATAATAAATCTCCAAAGGCCAAGCTTTGTTAAATCAATTAAAATTTAAAATTTCGTTCGGTTCCGAGAATTTTCCAAGTTGTTGGCCCCGGAAAAATGAAACGCATACGTAAAACATAGAATTGGATAAATACCGTCCAAGCACAAGACTTTAATGTAATTGTGTTTTATATAAACTATACATCACGAATCTGTTTGAAAATTTTATGCTATAATAGCGTCAACGCACGTTTATTTCGTGTTATAAAGTCTGCAGAGTCCCTCGGAACTGTTGGAGCCCTCGCCCTACCGGGCTCGGGCACCAACCGTTCCTCGGGACTCTGCAGACGTTATAACACGGAAAAACGTGCGTTAACCCTATATTAAATCAACTTTACCCGGCTTATGTTTTAATATGACAGACACTTTATATTACAAAGAACTTACAATAATACTTAATATTTAATTGTAATCTGTTATTTTTGACAACGAATACCGTCTTTGAAAATACAGAATTTATGTAATTGTAGAAGAAAGCCCACTGATCAGACATCGATATTACAGTATGAGTCAGTTATAGTATTGATTGTGATTGGTGATACAAATGCAATGGTGGCAAGTTCGATCTCCTCTTGACTTCTATACAAAACATTGATAGTCTTATGGTCTTTTAAAACAGCTAATACTTCGAATCGTTTTCTTGCATTAGAGTGGGTATCCAATTTCTATTTATAAAATGTAACTTATCTATATGCAGAATTCATCGTGATTATACGACCATGAACTAGATCTAAGTCATTTACAAATTATAAAATTGAGTTTCGAGATATCAGCTGATAAATTGTGCACTTTTGAGGTTAAACAATTAAAATCTTAGATTAGAAAAGTAAATCATCCATTTAGAGCACATATACATGTATGTATATTTATGTATTGTCCAGGTCAAGCAAATATAACTGGCAAGACGAACTTGTTTGGTATGAGATAAAACACAACACTTAGGTTGAATGAAATAGGGCATTTATTAAATGCCATAAATGACAAATGTTACATAATAACAAACATGACAAATGTTACATAATAACAAACATGGCATGTACATATTTGTATCGAAATAACCAAACTGGGAGGTAAAAACCGCCATAGGGCATTTATTAAATGCCATAAATGACAAATGTTACATAATAACAAACATGACAAATGTTACATAATAACAAACATGGCATGTACATATTTGTATCGAAATAACCAAACTGGGAGGTAAAAACCGCCATAATAACAAACATGGCATGTACATATTTGTATCGAAATAACCAAACTGGGAGGTAAAAACCGCCAGATTATGATAACATTGTAATGTAATTCAAATAGATTACAATCTTAACAAAAGTTATGTAAGATGACAAAGTTGAACCAAAAACCATCTACATAAATATAATAAAATGGATTGCTGATCAAAAACAATTGACCAGAAAAAATAAATATTTTCCAAATCGTGGTCGACTCGCCCAGGAAAAACCATAGTTTGGAAACCTGTGCCCTTTTATCTTGTGTCTAGTACCACTTGATGTAGGGCTCCATCCTTGGAAAATAGTTTAAAACATTCTATACATTAAAAAGTGTATAACATATGACTAGATCATAAGTATTTATGACAACAAATAGAAAAATATTTGAAAGAGATAATATAACATCGACTAGTTTTATAAATCTTTGCATGAACAATATACATAATATTATATATATATATAGTGTATCTCATGAATAGTTGCACAAATAATTGAGATAAACAATAAGTGAAAACAACTGATTCATTAAGAATAAATGAAATGGTATTTATATCAACATCAAAAATTGAAAGAGGAGGATGGAGTTGGAGGAGGTGGATTTTAGTAAACAGAAAGGCGAGAATCATTCCTCGCCAAAATTATTTCTTTGTGATAGATCTAATGTAATCATTGGTTAATTAACATCACATGATTTAAGTCTTGATATCGATTGGCTAAGACATACTTGGCTAAAACCTGACCCGTAACGGCTAAAAACCTGACCCGCAATATTCTGTACCGTAATGAGTATAGGGACAGAACAATGACATAAATTATTTTATGTGGGCATAAAATCTATTTTATGTATTGTCCAGGTCAAGCAAATATAACTGGCAAGACGAACTTGTTTGGTATGAGATAAAACACAACACTTAGGTTGAATGAAATAGGGCATTTATTAAATGCCATAAATGACAAATGTTACATAATAACAAACATGACAAATGTTACATAATAACAAACATGGCATGTACATATTTGTATCGAAATAACCAAACTGGGAGGTAAAAACCGCCACAAAGGGAACCTTCCGCCACCCAGGGAGACTTGACTAGGGATGAGCTTGACCTGTAATAAGGATTGAAACAGAGGGGCTAAATTTGCCGAAGTTACCATTAATTTAATCAAGTCATGTTAGGACAAAAATGTTACGACAAATCATATATCTAATGACAATATTATAATATGTGTAGAATTAATGTCTAACATTTAAATGGATCCTGACTTGTTCTTTAAATATATGTGGACTGCAGCCTTAAACTGTCAGGCACATTACAGGATATGCTATTGTAAACCAGCAACTGAGTTAATAGACCAAA